CATTTTAGCCTAAAAAACTAAACTAAAAATTTTGAATGTACAGATGGGGAGGTCAATCGGACCTAGTCTTCCAATTTTTTACGGGAGATTTTATGAAGCCAAGAATCAAAGAGGTGTATTTTTTAACGAAACTATTTTTAATAGTTTTATTTGTGGATTAATTTTTGCTTCATACTATAACATTCAATTATTTTCTAATACTTTTATTTTTTCAAAAAGGTTGATGAGTTACTGGCTAAAGGTGTTAATGTGACGGTCTATAGCGGTCAAGTAAGTGTTTTTTTTCCTTCAAACAAAAACAAGGAATATTTTGAAGTGATAAAATTGTAATATTCTCTTAGATTTATGTTTTACTTTTTTTTTATAGGTGGATCTTATTTGTTCAACCAAAGGAACCCACGCCTGGATTAATAAGCTTGAGTAATTTCTTTTTTGGAGTGATTTATGGTTACCGACATAAACATAAACCTAAGTCAACTGTTTCCTTAAAAAAAAACAAAAAACAAAAAGTAAGGATGTTTAAATTCTTAATTTTTGGTAAAGCAATTTTTTTTCTTTGAATTTAGGTGGGAAGGGCTAAAGGCATTTATAAGTAAGGAGAGAACTACTTTATTTTGTGGAAATGAGAAGCACACCAAGGGATTCACTAAGTCGCATAAGAACTTGCACTTCTATTGGATCCTTGGCGCTGGCCATTTTGTAAGCTATTTATTTTATTTATAATTTTTTAAGATTTAATACTTTTTAATTATATGATTACAAATGTAGGTTCCCGTGGATCAACCGTGTGTGACATTAAATATGGTGGACGCAATCACACAGTCACCAACTTCTTGATGCAGCTGTTTTTCGTAGAAAAAGATGACATATTTACTTTTTCAAATGTAAGAAAATATGTTTAATTATAGATAAAAAGAAAGAAATAACAGATGTATTATATATATATATATATTAACAAATCTAGTGTCATTTGATTATCTCACTAATTTTTATTTAGAGATATTTCAAATGTACGAATATATCAACCTAAATATAATTTAATTGGTTAACGATTTAAAATAAATAATGTTTTTTTAAAAAAGAAATACATAAAATAATCAATATCATATTTTCATTCAATAAGAAAGTTTTCTTTCGTTCAATCATTTCATATAATTAAGTAATAGATGTAACAATCAAACTATTTATAGATTAATAATAATAAAATATGTATCATACCATATTATATTAGTATAGTTACAAGTTTTCCCGACTATGAAAATCTAACGACTCTAAATTTCTACATACTCAAAGTCGTTACTAATGTCTCATACTCATCTCTAATGCAAAAATATAACTCTTAAAAGAAAAAAAAATCTTTTATATAAATGTCCAAAACATTTAAAACAAACTATTCTCGGGAAAACAGAGTTTTAAGTGTTTAAATACGAAATTTAAATAAAATAAAAATAAATACAAAATAATTTAAAACAATGAAAGACAAAACAACCTATTCTAACCTAAGACTAGAAAGTTAGATGAGTCTGTCGTATGCACGTGCCACAGTCTCTACTCGCAATGTTGCCGTCGCTCGTTCAAGTGCACCTTGCTGTTACTTGAAAAATGATGTGACACACGCAATCATAATTTAGGGACCTATCTCTAGCTCATTTAGGTGTGGCCTCTAGTTTCGAACAAATTGGATGTGTAGTACTTCCCTACACACAACCCACACGTGCAAGTGTGAATCTCCAGGGCGCTCGCACACCCCCAAGACCCTCTAGTCAAGCTAATTTGTAGCGATGTTCGGAGGTCAACGGAACCCCATAGTGTCATGCACCTCATGAACACCCTGCTCATCATACTGTGTGCATCCACACTCATCATCATACTGTGCGCGTCTGCACTCATCATCTCTAGGAGAAGTAGCCATATGCTTATGAGCATACAATATGACACTCATCATCATACAATCTGGAAAACATCGCCATATTAAGAAAAACATCATGCAATCATCATACATATCATATCGCCACAAAGTCCATCAAGCATATCAAGTATATCGAAATATACAAATATTACGCACATCATCCTACAAATATTACGCACATCCCAATTTTTCACTGCTCTCCATTTACTCATTTTTGAAAATAGAGTTTGATGTGCTTTCCTTTCATACATGCCTCATAGGGGGTGTTTGGAACTACAAATTGTGCCAGACCTTTCACCATGTTTTTGTGTTTCAAGGTTGGTGCAACAGCCTTTTTAGCCAAGATGACCATAATGATGGTGGCAAAGTGTTAACTGATCCATATTTGAAACTTGGAGGCATCTTCCTTCATTTGTTGTGGAGGATGGTTTAACAAACAAAATGAACAACTAATTTGCACTCATAATTGACTCTGCCTTTTTTTCTTTTTGTGGATGATAAATGCTCGTACACTATCTTTGAAGAGCACTATTACTCCTTTTTCTAGTATTTGTCCAACGCTCAAGCGATTATTTTTTAGTTCAGGTACCCAATACACATTACTAATAGTGTAGCGAACCCCATACAAAGTTAATTTCACTGCACCCTTTCGAGAACCTTTCATACTTATATTATTTTCAAGCTTCTGATGGAGTGGGAAAAGATCCTATCTATGCTTGAAAATATACATTCATATACACACATATGGTTTAAGCAACCAGAATCTAAGAACCAAGTATAACTCCTTCTTGCTTCATGTCTTTCCATATCAGCCATTAACAACATTTCATCCTCTTCTTCCATCTTTGCATAATTCAATTCCTTATTCATTTTTGGACATTCATATTTATGACCTAAGTCATGAGACCTATAACATTCAACAGTTGCTTTGTTGAAAGTTGATTTTCCTCTTCCGCGTCCTCTGCTCCTGTAAGATTATCATCACTCTTGCAAAATAATATGATACTTTCATCTTCTTCGATCTCTAGGATCTCAAATTCTCTCCTTAATGCATTAAGAAGAGATTTCTTCACTTTTTTGTTTCCACCAAACTTTCGCTTCATTGAGTTGCAAACAATATTGGTTGTGCGACGATCCAAGATTTGTTCAAAGACAGTATGATCAATTGCCTGGAAGAGGTAATGCTTTACTTGGTGATCTTTGAGTCTAGCATCATCAAGGTGACCCTTTTGTGCCTTAGTCAGCATTGTTTCTTTAGCTAGTTCTGAGAAACCAATCTCTACCACACTCCATAAACTCTTTGCTTTGAGCAAATTTTCCATCAGCTCACTCTAGTGATCATAGTGACCATCGAAGTGAGGGATCTTCGTTAAAGTCTTGTCTTTACTCATACTCTCTGTATTTGATCACTAAAAAATTGCTACACTACAAAGCCTAGTGGTGGCTCTGATACCAATTATAAGTTTTTGACAGAAGAATGATTAACACAGAAACATAAACGATTGGAGTTTGAAGCGATAATATTATTGAGTACTTAACTTTGGCTTTTATAGCCTTACAATAACAACATAAATAAATAGAAACTAACCACAAATATGGTAAATTAGTTAAACTAACCACAATCACACAGTCACCAGCTTCTTGATGTAGTTGTTTTTCATAGAAAAAAAATGACATATTTACTTTTTCAAATGTAAGAAAATATGTTTAATTATAAATAAAAGAAAGAAATAACATATGTATTATATATATATTAGTGAGAAAGAAATGACATATTTACTTTTTCAGTGTCATTTGATTATCTCACTAATTTTTATTTAGAGATATTTCAGATTTACTATTATATCAACCTAAATATAATTTAATTGGTTAACGATTTAAAATAAATAAGTTTTTTTTTTAAAAAAAAATACATAAAATAATCAATATCATATTTTCATTCAATAAGAATAGATGTCACAATCAAACTATTTATAGATTAATAATAATAAAATATGTATCATACTATATTATATTAGTATAGTTACAAGTTTTCCCGACTATGAAAATCTAACGACTCTAAATTTCTACCTACTCAAAGTCGTTACTAACGTTTCATACTCATCTCTAATGCAAAAATATAACTCTTAAAAGAAAACATCATCTTTTATATAAATGTCGAAAATATTTAAAACAAACTCTTCTCTCGAAAACAGAGTTTTAGGTGTTTAAATACGACATTTAAATAAAATAAAAATAAATACAAAATAATTTAAAACAATGAAATGCAAAACAACCTATTATAACCTCAGACTAGAAATTTAAATGAGTCTGCCTATGCACGTGCCACAGTCTCTACTCGCAATGTTGCCGTTGTCCGTACAAGTGCACCTTGTCGTTACTTGAAAAATGATGTGACACAAGCAATCATAATTTAGGGACCTATCTCTAGCTCATCTAGGGGTGGCCTCTAGTCTCGAACAAATTGAATGTGTAGTACTTCCCTACACACGACCCACACGTGCAAGTGTGAATCTCCAGCTCGCTCGCACACCCCCTAGATCCTCTAGTCAAGCTAATTTGTAGCGACGTTCGGAGGTCAACGGAACCCCATAGTGTCATGCACCTCATGAACACCCTGCTCGTCATACTGTGCGCATCCACACTCATCATCATACTGTGCGGGTCTGCACTCATCATCTTTAGGAGAAGTAGCCATATGCTTATGAACATACAATATGACACTCATCATCATACAATCTAGAAAACATAGCCATATTAAGAAAAACATCATGCAATCATCATACTCATAATATCGCCATAAAGTTCATCAAGCATATCAAGTATATCGAAATATACAAATATTACGCACATCATCATACGGCATAACTTAAACATCATCATATACTAGTATATGGCATCATACGACACCGCTCATACATCATCATAACTCATGCATCATCATGGCTCATACATCATCATATACTAGTATAGGACATCATGTGATACAACTCATACATCATCATAACTCATACAATTTTTCGCCTCTCCTATAGTAAGACCACTTACGTGATTAGTTAGTTTAGGCTGGTGTCACCAATTTATCATTAATGAAAGTTTGATTTTGTCCATTGTATCCAAGTCAACCTATATTAATCCAAGACATCAATTTCACGTTCAATTCTCTAAATCTCACAATGGTCGATGTACTAGACCTCATACGAGCATTAAAGACTTTTCATGAGTAAAGTCCTGGAACGTTATATATATATATATAGATATAGATATATAATTCTATTTTCATTAAGATCTCATTTCCTATCATTACTATGTTAGGGATGAATTTGATGGAGTTATTTTAAGTGACCGTATTTTGTACTTACCTTCTCATTGATCTTTCCTTTTTTTTGTCTACATGTACTCGGTATCCTTCTCATTGATCTTTCACTGCATGTACTCAGTATTGTGTACTTCCTTGCCTTCTCACTTTGATCTTTCCTTTTCTTTTTATGGTATGTACTCTACTTTGTCTTTTAATTTTTGTTTGGATATATTCTTGTTCCTTGCCTTCTCACTCAGATCTTTCATTTTCTTTTTGTGGCATGTACTTCTTAGGTGTATTTTCCTTTTTTTTCTTTTTTTTTTTCTTAGATGTATTTTCATTGTCATTTTCAATAGATTCTAATTTTCTTTTCTTTCCAAAAAAATAAAATTGCTCTATATTAGGAATCAATTTACGGGAAAGATTCTAATTTTCTTTTCTTTCCAAAAAAATAAAATTGCTCTATATTAGGAATCAATTTACGGGAATCCCATAAATTTTTATTCTTATTTGATTTCTAACTAAAATCTAAATAAAAAATCAGAAATAAAATAAAGAAAAGATTTAACTAACCTACTACTGACATTCTTATGATCACATCTTTAGGTAAATCTGCCCAAAGCCATTTTTTG